TGTCGTTGTCGTTGTCGTTGTCGTTGTCGTTGTCGTTGTCGTCGTCGTCGTCGTCGTCGTCGTCGTCGTGGTCGTGGTTGTTGTTGTTGTTGTTGTTGTTGTTGTTGTTGTTGTTGTTGTCGTTGTTGTTGTTTAGCAAAAGCAGTGAGTTTTTCGTCGTCGTTAGTCTAGAATAGAGCGCAGTTTTGGGGTTTACCAAGGCTTCAGCCTCCCAACAGACACCCAACCTTAGACCTAAACCATAAACCANNAAATCCAAAATCTAAACCCTAAGCCCTACAAGCAGTGGGCTGTACATGACATTGCTCGGAGACTGGTTGTCGGGCTGCAGGGGGGGTTTCGGGGCTCAGGGTCTGGGGTTCAGGGTCGGGGTTACGCCTCTACCCTAAACTGTAGAATTGTGGGGAGTGTTTTGTCAGTTTTTAGCAAAGAGGGCATAGGCTGACGCTCCCGGATCTCGGCATAATGGGGTTTCTTTTAGATGTATAGGGGCGCGGCCGAAATAATTACCTACACTATTTCAGGGGTTCCTCAGAAGAGTATAGTATAATGGCCCCCAAAACGCTATTCTAATAATTAAGGCCGCTACATTAGATTAAAAGGCTTGAGTTATGTATCCTCTTCCTTCAACTTAAACCCTAAACCCTACGTAATACGAAAGCCCGAATTCAATAAATACTTACATTACTGTCGGGGTTCGTTTAATGTACTAATCACAAGGAGCCTAAACCCTATTCTATTTATTAAGGCCCCTACACCCTGAACCCTTATAGTAGCCCTTATAGAACCCTTCAAAGGAGCCCTTGAAAGAAAACATGATACAGTATTATACTGCAAGTATAATAAGGAACCCCCCCAAAACCCTACTCCAATTATTAAGGCCCCCACATTAGACCCTCAACCCAAAGGCCCTCTTCGTATTTCTGAAGCTAGAAGGCTACACTCTGCAACCGACCGCCATCTGGGAGTCAGCGGGAAGGTGGCTGGTGGAGCAGCAGGCTGGCAGATCACGAAAAAATTGAAGTTCCATTGAGGTTGCACAGTCTTCCAAATTCGGCGTCGCTTGTTTGGTTTTGCTAATGGCTCCCTAAGGCTTTTTTGGGTCTTAAGGCCAGTCAAAATCTGGTCCTAGTCCTAGTTCCACCCAGGCCGCTACATGAGAGTCAAGGGCTTACTTTAGGGTCTCGGGGCTATGCTCCTTGACCATACACGCCCACGGCCCTAAACCCTAAACCCGATCGAGTTCTTAAACCCCAAATACAAAACCCCGCAAACAAGCATAGAACCCGTACAGACCCTTTTAGCGGAGCTCCCCCCCCACAACTCCAAGCCCTGAGCACCCCAGGGTTGGAGTTACACGCCTCCGCCGGAGCATTTCGCCTTCTCGGCCAGTGTCGTGACCAGCGCCGCCAACATCATCCGAGCAATGACAAACCCAGGGGACCAGATCGCGTGTCTTGGCTGAGAGGCTGGTGATGATGATGATGATGATGAAGATGATGATGATGATGAAGCTAACGAGGAAGAATATGATGGTGGCCGTAACATCACTGTTATCGCCACCGTGCTCCTTCTACGTAGTCGCTTCCCCCTCTTATTAAACACCCCCTTAACAATAAATATACATTGGGCGGATCCTCCCGAAATCATGCCTGCGCTGCACTTTAAAACCTATTCTGAGTTAGGGGGAGGGTTCTTAGAGTTAGAGTAAGAGCAAGAGCAAAAGCAAGAGCAAAAGCAGCAGCAAGAGCAAAGCAAAAGCAAGAGCGGGGGTAAGAGCAAGAGCAGGAGCAAAAGCGGGAGCAACAGCAAGAGCGGGAGCAGGCGCACGAGACGTAGCAGAAGCAGGAGCAAAAGCCAACGTGGGAGCAAGAGCCAGAGCAGGAGCAAGAGCACAACCCCTAAAAAGTGGCAGCGGAGATAAGAAAACCCCTAATAATGAAAACAATTTCAGAGTTTTTGTTGGGGGGAGGCCCCCCGCTTTAATATTAGGGTTATTAGGGGAAAACGATTGAACTGCTTATTTAGAGGACCCTTACAGAATGGCATTTAGTTCGTCATGGGTTGAGGCCTTAATCGTTTAGGCATCGGACTTTCAGGGTTAATCATCATTCTCCTCCTCTTCCTCTCCTCATCAGCATCGGGTTTAACCATGGATACCATGAGCCGACGTTTGGCCGTAATATTTGGGCCTCAATCCTTACCTATACTATTTTTTTTTTTTGGGGGGGGTCCTTATTATAGTTACAGTAGAACATACATCCCAAAACTCTGTTCTAATGGTTAAGGCCCCTACATTCCGTCTGGCCCTACAGTTCTCACTATCGTCTCAGGTTGATGGTTCCGCTCTATGCGCCGCTCCAGAACATCGTCCTTGCCTGCGATCGCACCTTGATACGATATCACCTTCAGCAAAACAAGTCCGGCCAGTACGACATGGACGTCAAGGCCACGGGCTGCGGTTTTTCCTGGTTTTTGGTCATATGATATAGGGGCCCAAATACTTACCTATTTCGGGGGCTCCTTAGTATAATTATAGTATAATAGTCCCCAAAACCCTACTCTCATTGTTTTGCTAAGAGGGGCCCATGCTCTTGTTTGCTGCTCAAGGGTTCGAAGTCTCGGTTGAATGGTGCAACGAGGGGCCTTTTTGAAGGCAACCTCACCTCGGTTTGTCCTGACGTTGAGAACCCGGACACACCTTAAACCCTGAACCCCGTAATGTACTGGCCTTAATAATTAGAGTAGGGTTTTGGGGACTATTATACTTTTCTTATACTAAGGAGCCCCCGAAGTAGTATAGGTAAGTATTTGGGCCCCTATATCATACGACCGAAAACCCGAATGGTGCCCGCCAGGGAAGCTTGTCTGCCTTACTGGACACCAAGAACATCAAGATCCTCATCCTCTGCAATCCGCACAACCCAATTGGCCGTGTGTGGAAGCGTGAGGAGTTGATTCTTGTCCGATACATGGTTCAGGTTGGTGGCTTCGACAGCCTTGAAATAGTTTCACTTCGAGTAGTCTTTCACCTGCGGGTCGGATCTAGAGCGTCTGAACGGTGCCACGGTGCCAACCCTGAACCCAGAACATCCCCAACTTCTGAACAACCAAACTCAGCGAGGCTCGATCTTGCCCGGATCTGTCAGAAGAGAGGTGTCGTGGCAACTCGGGCGGCAATTTTGTATTCATAGCTGCAGTGAGGCTTGAATTACTAGTAGTAGCATCCCCTCATGATCCCTCTACGATTCGACCGCGTTGTTGCAGACGGCGAGTCCAACCGAAGAGACACGAAACCCTAAACCCCTAAAGCCCTAAACCCCTTACTAAACCCCTAAACCCTAAATCCTAAAGACCTAAACCCCTAAACCCCTAAACCCCTAATCCCCTAAAACCCAAAGCCCTAAACCCCTAAACCAGAAACCCTCATACCTAAACCCCACCCCCATCCCGAACCCATGAATCCAGGCTCGGGGAGCATGGGGCTGACGGCCAGGGGTTGAGGGGTTAGGGGTTTCGGGTGGAGGGTTGGGGTTTCGGGTTTAGGGTTTAGGGGTTTCGGGGGGTGTTGGGGTTGAGGTTTAGTGGTTGAGGGCTTCAGCTTAGGGTAAGGGCTTAGAAAGACTCAGTGTGTTAGCCCAAACGCGCAGTGGCAGGGAGCTGCTACACAGGATAGCGCTGGTCAAGCGACATGAAAGGCCAACGGCCACCTGTTTGCTAGATCGCCTCCTCTTCCCAGTAAATGACTGCCCGAAAGGCTTTAGAGTTGTCGTGCACACTGCAGAAAGCTGGTTTGTGGCTTTTGCTGCCGCGTAGGGCTTCGGGGATCGGTCGCTTGATGGATTCTTGCAGCCACCACTCCTAAACCCTACTCCCCTAAGCCCTCAACCCTAAACCCTAAACCCTAAGCCCTAAACCCTAAACCCTGAACCCTAAACTAAACCCTAAACCCTAAACCCTACTGTCAACTTGAAAATGTCGACCATCCTGAACCCGAAGCCCTGAAAGCTGCCACAAACGCAACCGGTCAACTCTAAGCCTTGAGCCCCCGACCTTGAAGTTCGCAAACCTAAACCCTAAGCCCGAGATTCCGGGAGGTACCAACGCCTGAAACCCGAAGCCCAAACTCTGAACCCTGGCCCTAAAAGCCCCAGGTCACCTCAAAATACGATTGTTTTCAACCTTGGGGAGACACTATAAGCGGGACTCGTGGATTATATTAGGGGTCAGAATCTTCATGGACATCTAGAAAGAGATTGTGCGAGTATCCGGTTGCAGTCCCTATAATCATTAAGGCCCCCCACCCCATTTTCTCGAATCCTGAACAAACCGTCAAAGGAACCCTATTCTAACTTCCCGAGATTCTTAGGATCCCATTCAAGGCCCCACTATGCTACACCGCAACAGTAATCCTTACAGAACCATTGCCAGAAACCCAGTAAAAGGGAACCCTACTCTAACTACTCAAGCCCATAAACTGCTCAACCTCTAAACCCTAAACCCTGAACCAAAAGCCCTGAAACCTAAACCCTAAACATCCCTAAAGCCCAAAAACCCAAACGGACCCCTTTCAAGGAACCCCTCTAAGGAGCCCTTTAAAATGAGGTCATGTCAGACGAGATCTGGGCCGATTGGTGCTTCGAACGCTTCACTCCATTTCAGCCTGTTGCGCAAGAGGCCCAAAAGTATGGTGTTTAGGGCCTTAGTTTAGGGATCAGGGTTTTGGGGTTGAGGGTTTAGGGAATAAGGGTTTAGGGGCTTAGGGGTTTAGGGTTTAGGGTATCATGGTTTAGGGGTCTAGGGGTTTAGGGTTGTAGGGGTTTAGGGTTTCAGGGTGTCGGGTCTTCGGGCGGAAGGGCCTTAAGGTTTTACGCTTTAGGATGCTGGAAGATGGGTGCAGAGAATGATGCGGGTCGATCACAATGTATGATCCTCTGCCCCCAAAGCCCTTACCCTCAAACCACATACTCAAACAACTACACTGTAACTACACACCTGTACAGCCTGTACTTGTTCGGAAAGTGGTTTGCTTCCTGGTCCCCTGTCTTCTCACTCAGGATTTCGGCCAGAAATCTTGACAGTTCGGCAGGATGCCCCTAAACCCTAAACCGAAACCCCAAACCCTAAACCCTAAACCCTAAACCCTAAACCCTAAACCCTAAACCCTAAACCCTAAACCCTAAACCCTAAACCCTGAATGATCTAGGGCCCGGGGCGAGCAGCTCTCTGACCCCGGACCCCTGTGTTCTCCGATCCTCCGACGAATTTTGACACCCGGAGCCAGCAACAAACACTGCGCCTTAGCCTAAAACCTCAAATCTCAAGAGCTGAAAGAGCGGTGTGCATAAGTTAAGAGCCACTATTTTTGATCAGGGCTCCCTAAATCGCACGCGTCCAATCCGGTAAATTCTCCGATAAATCTTAAACTGAAGCCGATACCCCCTCTGCTTACAGTTGTAAGCCTCTCTGCCCAGCTACATCCCGATGCTACAGAGTGATGTAGAAGTCTGAATGTGGGTGTCCGTTGCCGCATATCTAGTTTATGCCGGCGACATAAACCCTCCGCCTAACTAGTCAGGCATCCAGATTGGAGGCCCTTGTTCTGCATGTTTCGGATTTCTGCGTTGGGATCATGCACCAGAACTGTACAACCCGAACCCCACGCCCCAAGCGCTAAACCGCACCATATTCGCAAGTGCCGCAACTACTACAAGCCAAGCCCTAACCACAAACTCGGAACCTGGCCCACTGCAGGTGGGTTGCAAGTGCATCACGCTCGGCGCGCCGACGAAAACTTGGTTATCAAGCTGCACGTGCGAGTTATATCGGGTCTACCCGGGTCTGCGCCACTTTTGCACAGGGCTTAGCGCATTTTGGCAGAACGTGGCGACGCGGAAGCTTTGTCGATGCATGTCAAGAGTTGCGAGGTCCCTAAACCCTATAAACCCTAAACCCTGCTGTCGGATCATCATAGCCTTCCGCTCCGCCCGAGGTCAATGGCCGGCCTACACGCCTCGTATGTCGTCGTGGCCGACGACGAGTTGCGCAAGCAGTGGGGGAGCCTAGCTCTGTTGTCGGGGCACGGAAAAATTTAATGATTCGGGTTGAGGATGTCGGATTTCACAAGATGAATCTGGATGGTTCTCATAACCACATGAAACCAACAACAATACTACTGCTCTTCTTGCTGCCCATGCTGCTGAGTAATGTAGGGGCCTTAAGAATTGCCTATACTATTTTGGGGGGTCCTTATAAAAGTTATAGTATAATATACACCAAAACCCTGTTCCAATTATTAAGGCCACGACTTCATGCCCATGAACCTTCGCTTCGTAGTTCCAATTTCGGCGACAGTTTGGGCTGGAAGCTGCAATCCAACTCAATTTCGGTAGGCCTAGTTCCCAAAACGCTACACCCTAAACGCCTCAATCGTAAACCCTAGACCCTGTATCAAGCTGGCATTGTCAAGCGCCCCTGAGCTCTTGCTCATTAGACCTTCGCGGCTCACTTCTCCACCACACGTCGGAATGCCCTTCCTCCTATCCTGAAGCCCTCCCCTTCTGGTACCTAGACCCCCAGATCCCCTACGCCGGATTGAGGGTTTAGGGTTAAGCAACCGAGTCGTCAAGCGACCCTGTGTCAAGTGAGTTGGCCTGAGACCAGAAATACACCCAACCGGGTGTCGTAGCGTGTAGGCTGTGGGATCATGCTGCGAAAAGCCATGCAGATGTGGCCCCCGAACCCGAACCCTTAAAACCTTCAAATCCGAAAGCTCCAAACCCTCAAACCCTAAACCCTAAACACCCCTAAACCCTATGGGAGCATTCCGCCTGAAGCCTTTAAGGTACCTTGAGTACACAGAGCCGAGCTTTCTGACCTTCGCCAGCATCTTTGCCACTGCCGCTCGGGTGTAAATTGCACCCACATACGCGGATTAGAAGTATCAGGAACAATACCTCCTTACATAGACCCTAACTCTAAATCCCCCTCGACACTAAACTCCAAAGCCCCTATGCCCTAAACCCTCAACTCTAACAGTCCCAAAACCTCAACCCCAAATGCGAACACCCGCAAACCCTAAACTCTAAACCCTCAACCCTATCCCCAAACCCGACACCCTCAACCCTAAATATTTGAATCACCAAACCCTAAACCCTGAACTCTACAGCCCACATACCCTAAAAGCAGAAGAGGGTTTTTAAAAGGGTCTTTAAAACAAAACAAAGCAGTGTTTTAAAACACCCTTTAAACAAACGCACCGCCCGACAAGGAGATGATGCTCGTGGCTTACGACCGAGGAGGCCCCTGGTTCCAGGCCGCGAAGGCCTACATCAAGGCAGCAGCTGGTTGCCCAGGAGCCCTTAAAGGGGTTTAGAGTTTAGGGTGAAGGGTTTAGGGTTTAGGGTTTAGGGTTTAGGGTTCGGGGTTTAGGGTTTAGGGTTCGGGGTTTAGGGTTCGGGGTTTAGGGTTTAGGGTTTAGGGTTTAGGCTTCCTTCGTAAGGGTTCCTTTAAGGGTTCTTCCAGGAGCTCGTTCGAAGGGCTCCTCTTAAAGGAACCCCTTTGAGGGAGCCTTAAAGGAACCCCTATTTCGTGTTTGCCGGGGGATGTTTTCAGGGTTTGTACTTGTAGGTGCTCTTTCGGGGTGCGACTTTACAACGGTTATATAGGGTTCTATACGAGCAGTGCAAATTCCCGTCTTTTGGTGCTTAGGGCTTAGGGCTGAGGGGCTTACGGCTTAAGGCTATCGGGTTTGGGGCTTAGGGGCTTGAGGTGTAGAGGCCCCAAAGACCACAAAGCATAGTAGAGGTCCGAAGACGTATCATTAGCAGTGCCTGTATACCTATATCTTACTTATACCAGATATTACTATGTTTTTATTATACTTATACGATGTTGTCGTATACTAAGAAGCCCCGAATCTGTTCGGGGTCCTTGTTCAAGCTACATGTACAATGCCGGGTTATAGAACTCCTTCCTATTTATGTGGATTGCAAATACAATGGGGATCTGAGTGCTAAGGCCCTATAAGAGTCTAGGGTTTGGGGTTACGTACCTGTAGGGTTTAGGACTTCACGACATTGATCTCCTGAAGCCCGCCTTGTACGGTAAGAGTCCGTGCATTTTCTATATGCCCTATACCCTAAACTGCTGCAGGCCTAGACACTAAAACCTCGAAACACAAGACCCTAAACTCTCATGTAAGGGCTTCAACTATTAGCAGCGCTAGCCCCCTGTAGTCGCTGATCCAGCGAGTAAACACTCGAGCCCGACTATAGAGTATCTGAGAAACGAGCAAACGGCTCGAAAGAGACTAGAGAATTTGAGAAGCAGGGAGTAAACGCTCGAGAGGGACTAGAGTATCTGAGAAACAAGGAGCAAACCGCTCGAAAGGGACTAGAGAATTTTAGAAACAAGGAGTAAACGCTCGAGAGCGACTAGAGTATCTGAGAAACAAGGAGCAAACCGCTCGAAAGGGACTAGAGAATTTGGGAAACAGGGAGTACACGCTCGAGAGCGACCAGAGTATCTGAGAAACAAGGAGCAAACCGCTCGAAAGGGACTAGAGAATTGGAGAAACAGGGCGTAAACGCTCTAGAGCGACTGGAGTATCTGAGAAACTAGGAGCAAGCCGCTCGAAAAGCACGAGAATATGACAAACAGGGAGTAAACGCTCGAGAGCGACTAGAGTATCTGAGAAACAAGGAGCATACCGCTGGAAAGGGATTAGAGAATTTGAGAAACAAGGAGTAAACGCCCGAGAGCGAAAAGAGTATCTGAGAAACAAGGAGCAAACCGCTCGAAAGGGACCAGAGAATTTGGGAAACAGGGAGTAAACGCTCGAGAGCGACAAGAGTATCTGGAGCACACCTCTCGAAAGGGACTAGAGAATTTGAGAAACAGGGAGTAAACGCTCGAGAGCGACTGGAGTATCCGAGAAGCAAGGAGCAAACCGTTCGAAAGGGACACGAGAATTTGAGAAACAGGGAGTAAGCGCTCGAGAGGGACTAGAGTATCTGAGAAACAAGGAGCAAACCGCTCGAAATGGACTAGAGAATTTGAGAAACAGGGAGTAAACGCTCGAAAGCGACTGGAGTATCTGAGAAACAAGGAGCAAACCGCTCGAAAGGGACTAGAGAATTTGAGAAACAGGGCGTAAGCGCTCGAGAGCGACTAGAGTATCTGAGAAACTAGGAGCAAGCCGCTCGAAACGGACGAGAATTTGAGAAACAGGGAGTAAACGCTCGAGAGGGACTAGAGTATGAGAAACAAGGAGTAAACGCTCGAGAGCGACCACAATATCTACAAGTAAGAAACAAGGAGCAAACCGCTCGCAAGGGACTAGAGAGTTTGAGAAACAGGGAGTAAGCGCTCGAGAGCGACTAAAGTCTCTGAGAAACAAGGAGCAAACCGCTCCAAAGGGATTAGACAGTTTGAGAAACAGGCAGTACATGCTCGAGAGCGACTGGAGCATATGAGAAACAAGGAGCAAACCGCTCGAAAGGGACTAGAGAATTTGAGAAACAGGGAGTAAATGCTTGATAGCGACTAGAGTTTCTGAGAAACACGGAGCAAACCGACAAACAGGAAGTAAACGCTCGAGAGCGACGAGAGTATCTGAGAAACAAGGAGCGAACCGCTCGAAAGGGACTAAAGAATTTGAGAAACAGGGAGTAAACGCTCGAGAGCGACTCGAATGTCTGAGAAACAAGGAGCAAACCGCTCGTCAGCGACTAGAGTATCTGAGAACCAAGGAGCAAACCGCTCGCAAGGGACTGGAGAAGTTGAGAAACAGGGCGTAAACGCTCCAGAGCGACCAAAGTATTTGAGAAACAAGTAGCAAACCGCTCGAGAGGGACTAGAGAATTTGAGAAACAGGGAGTAAATGCTCGAAAGGGACTAGAATAACTGAGAAACAAGGAGCAAACCGCCCCACAAGGACTAGATATTTTAAGAGACAGGGAGTAAACGCTCGAGAGGGACTAGAGTATCTAAGAAACAAGGAGCAAACCGCTCGAAACGTACGAGAGACTTTAGAGTATCTGAGAAACAAGGAGCAAACGGCTCGCAAGGGACTAGAAAATTTGAGGAACAGGGAGTAAACGCTCGAGAGCGACTAGAGTATCTGAGAAACTAGGAGCAAGCCGCTCGAAAGGGATTAGAGAATATGAGAAACAGGGAGTAAACAATCGAGAGCGACTAGAGTATCTGGAACGAACCGCGCGAAAGGGACTAGAGAAGTTGAGAAACAGGGAGCAAACGCTGGAGAGCGACTAGGATATCTGCGAAACAAGGAGCAAATCGATCGAAAGAGACTAGAGAATTTGAAAAACAGGGAGTCAACGCTCGAGAGCGACTAGAGTATCTGAGAAACAAGGAGCAAACCGCTCGAAAATGTTCAAAGGGACTAGAGAATTTGAGAAACAGGGAGTAAACTCTCGAGAGCGAGAAACAAGGAGCAAACCGCTCGAAAGGGACTAGAGAGTTTGAGAAACAGGGAGTAAACGCTCGAGAGCGACTAGAGTATCTGAGAATCAAGGAGCAAACCGCTCGAAAGGGATTAGAGAATTTAAGAAACAGGCAGTAAACGCCCGAGAGCGACAAAGAGTATCTGAGAAACAAGGAGCAAACCGCGCAAAAGGGACTAGAGAATGTGAGAAACAGGGAGTAAACGCTCTAGAGCGACTAGAGTATCTGAGAAACATGCAAGAACAAACCACATGAAAATGCTCGAAAGGGACTAGAGAATTTGAGAAACAGGGAGTAAACGCTCGAGAGCGAATAGAGTATCTGAGAAACAAGGAGCAAACCGCTCAAAAGGGACTAGAGAGTTTAAGAAACAGAATTAAATGCGCGAGAGCGAGCAGAGTATCTGAGAAACAAGGAGCAAACCGCTCGAAAAGGGACTAGAGAATTTGAGAAACAGGGAGTAAACGCTCTAGAGCGACTAGAGTATCTGAGAAACAAGGAGCAAACCGCTCGATAGGGATTAGAGAATTTGAGAAACAGGGAGTATCAGGGAGTATACCCGTGAGAGGGACACGAGAATTTGAGAAACAAGGAGCAAACCGCTCAAAAGGGACTTGAGAATTTGAGAAACAGGGAGTAAACGCTCTAGAGCGACTAGAGTATCTGAGAAACAAGGAGCAAGCCGCTCGATAGGGATTAGAGAATTTGAGAAACAGGGAGTATCAGGGAGTATACCCGCGAGAGGGACTAGAGAATTTGAGAAACATGGAGCAAACCGCTCAAAAGGGACTCGAGAATTTGAGAAGCAGGGAGTAAATGCGCGAGAGCGAGTAGAGTATCTGAGAAACAAGGAGCAAACCGCTCGAAAGGGACTAAAGAATTTGAGAAACAAGGAGTAAACGAAGGCCCAAAAATTCATTCCAGTCAAACTGGTTGAGGTTGTTGTATTGGGGCCCCTAAACCCGCGTCAAAGCCTTATAGACGCATTGATAAGAAGCCTTAATTACAGGAGCCTTTACACCCCAAACCGCAAAACCCCGGTTTTTTCAGGCGAACATAGTCTTCTTGGAACACTTCCTCCTGGCCCACGTTCCTGGTGTGCGCCTTGCCACGCGGCCGCAGCTTCTCTTGCAGGGCTTTGCCTTTTCGGGGGCTTCAGGTTCACGTCTCGCTTCAGGGTTTGGGGTTTAGGGTTTATAGGGTTCAGGAATGTAGGGTTCAGGGTTTAGGAATGTAGTGTGTATAGGCGTTTAGGGTTTAGGAATGTTGGACCTTTAGGGTTTGGGGTTCTTGGATTTTGGGTTACCGGGAATAGGATGTGAAGGCTTCAGGTTCGAAGGGTTCTACACGGGTTAGCGGCCCTTTCGGCCTGGGCATTGTGGGGTTTTTCGAGCTGAGATGATTGGGTTTGGGGTTTTGGTTTGGAGTTTGGGGTTTATTTGGGCTTGGGGTTCCTGGTCGTCCTAGTTCCAGAAATCTTGGTCCCATACCTCACAGTCTATCAACACCTTGATTGGTTATTTAGAAATTCAATCCGAAAGGAGCATGAACGAGATGGAAGCGAAGTTGACAAGTCAGACCCTTGCGAGAAAGCGCCGGTGAAGCCCCGAACGATCTGATTAAAGAAGTGGGACTTGAACAGTTAGATGTAGTATTCTTCTGCGTTCCTTCAGGGTTCTGGTGTATACACATCATGTACATGTAGATGACCGATTATGCATATGACCCTAAACCCCTAAAGCCTAGACCCTAAACCTGTTGAACCGATAGATAATGCATCCAGCACCTGCAAACGTCAACTCGAGGTGCCACACCAGGCCGTGGTTGCAGATCTCAGGGTTGGGGTTTCGGCTTTAGGGCTTTGGGCTTTGGGTTCAGGGCTTAGGTTTATAGGGTTTAGAGGGAGGGGTACTTAGAGATACAGCAATTCCTAACCTTTTGGTCAAGAAACAGCAAAAGTTCTAATTTTCTGCAAGGGTCCCAGGTTCAGTATGGCTTGAGGGTTGGGGTTTGGACAGTTTGGCTGGGCGGGGCCCGTTGAATTGGGGCTCGGGGTTCCGGGGCTGTCGGCTTGGGCCCTAAACCCTAAACCCTAAAGTCTAAACCGTAAACCTTAGACTCTAAACCCTAAACCTTGAAGCCCTCAACCCTCAAATTTAACAAGGTTTCAATCAGGGACGATACAACTGTAAGTATGTCTTTAGGGTTTAGGGTTCAGGGTCTAGTGGAGTTTAGTGCTTTGGGGTTTAAAGGTGTAGCTTGCGGCTCAGGGCTCAGACTTGCAATCGCCAAAGACCAACACCAAATTCGAGGACCCAAAGACCGACAGACCAAGCCCTGAAGCCTGACATCCAACATGGGCGGTTTCTACCTGGCTACAACTGCGGGTGTACGGTTTTAGTTCGTTTTTCGTTTTGCGGTTTTGGGTTTCATGTTTCAGGATTTAGGGTTTAAGGTGTTTTGAGGGTGTGGGGGGGGGAGGGGGCTCAGGTCTTTCTTCAAGCCTTTAGGAGTGACGGCTGTTGTGTGTTTTTTTTTTCGTGTTTGGGGTTTACGTCAATCGGGGTGTGGGATCCTTGGGTAGGGTCTAGCAAACTTTGGTCGTGGAACTCAAAACCCGAACCTCACCTCCTCATTAATCGATGCTCAAGCCCCCACGCGCCCTAAAGCCTGACCTGAATAGGACCCCTAAACACTAAACCCTAAACCTTAAACCCTACACCCTAAACCCTAATGCGTGTTCGGGACCTGAATAGAAACTTCCGGGTCCAGGAAGTGCGTCTATGCCCTAACGCTCTCACCACCCGATCTCGCAACCCTACCCAAGAGCTAGGCTGTCAACATTCCCTTTTGGGTTTGAAGAGGATCTTACTTACGGACTTTTCAAAGACTTAAGCGGGCCCATCTAGAACCCAAAACGCTAAAACCTTCGACTTGGACCACCAGACCTCAAACTCCAGACTCTAGACCCGGCAAAAATTAAAAACCATTCTTAAGCCTTAAGGTCCTAAGCCCTACATCCAAAGCTCCTCAACCCTAAAGCCCTAAAGCCCACAACCCAAAACCCCCTAAGCCCTGAAGACGATCTCGACGCCTTGCAATTCGAAGGCCACCTACTTGGCCTGGCTGGACTGCTCTGGTCTGGGTGGCTCGGCTGTTTAGGGTGTAGGGTTTTGGAGGCTCGGCTTCTTTGAGGAGTTAGGGATGTTTAGCTTGTAAAGCTTAGAATTGAGAGCTCAGGCCTTGTAGGGCTTTGGCAGAAGATGTCGGGTGTGGGGTTTAAGGTTTAGGGTTTCGAGGGCCGCCGAGCTTGGCATGGGGTAGGCCCGTTTCGCATCTTGACCAATCGAAGCTCACACGCGTTTTGGGTTCAGGCTTGTAGGGGAAACGGGTTAGCCCAAAACCGAACACTCACGCACTAAAGCCCTGGATTCTATAAAGCCCTAAACTAGACCCTAAGCCCAAAACACTAACCCTCAACCGCTCCAACACGAAACCTGGACCAATGAAGCGCTTGAACCTGTCAGGTTGGAGGCTGTTCGTTGTTTCGGATTTCGGGTTAACCCCAAACTCTAAACCCCTGAAACCTAAACCCTGATGCCTGGAGCCTTTAGGGACTAAGTACTGGGAAGTGCCAAGCCCCTCGGTTCTGGTAGGCTTCAGGGTTTAAGGATCAGGGTTTAGGGTTCTCGGTTTTTGTATTTTGGTGTTTGGGGTTCAGGGTCAAGGATTTAAGGGTTTCGGGCTCTGGGTTCTGGGCTTTGCGTTTAGCGTCAGCTTTCTGATCAGTGGGTGCCTTCGAGCCTGACGCTGAGAGCAATTGCAAAGCTCCCAAAAAATCAAGAAATGTCACTAAACCCCAAACCCTTTAACCCAGTTGAGGCTTCGATTCCGGAAAGGAGTTGAACAGCTTCATCCTCCACGAGGCAGTTGTGCTTGTTGGTTGCATCCTGATGTGCGGGGATGTTTGGGACACAAAGTGAAGCCCTCCGAGAGCCCTCACAAGCCTGTTTAAAGTCTGCATAAGACCATTCTCAACGCCTTAAGCGCCCTTATGCAATCCATGCATTAAGCCCCTACACACATACGAAGCTCTTTTTATTAAAGAGTCCTTCCGAAAATCGAACCCCCTTCAAGCCTAAACCCTAAACCCTAGATTCCAAACCCTAACCCCCAAACCCGTTCAGCCCTAAACCCTAAATTCCAAA